TTTCTGGAATTTTTAGTCCAAGAACATCTGGGGATCCAAGGTTGGGAACCACGGTTTTAAGACAACAGCTCCCATGGTCCTTCACCATTGGCTGTGCTAACTGTAGATCTGATGGAAGTTACAAGTCAGAAACCTCCGGAGGACTGTAGCTGCCTATCTGGGTCAAAGGAAATGGAAGTTCAGCAGTCTTATATTAAATAATAAATTCAGAAATTAAGGCTTCCTCAGAGCCTGTTCAAGTCTCAAATACATCAGAGTTTCCACTACTCAGTGTAATGTGCGATAAGCTGTCATGGCCATGAAATATCCTATAAACCCAGGGTCCCCAATCCCCGGTATCGGGGCACAGCCTTTGCAGGACCAGGCCAGAGAAACAGATCTCCCACCGCCCCCCATGCACATACACACGTATGGACATCACCCCATACACACACGGATGCACACATGCCCTGCTCACACACGTATGGACACACACACGCCCCCCACATGCGCACACGGGTGCCCCCCACGCACGCACAAATGGGTGCCCCGCCCACCCACGCACAAATGGGTGCCCCGTCCACCCACACACAGATGCCCCCCTGCCCCCCAACGGGTCCACGGTTTGGAAAAGATTGGGGACCACTGCACTTTGTTAACCAATGGTACACATGTCACTGGTGCGACAAAGAAGTGATGAAGTTGGGATGCAGGTTTATCATAACAATTGTTAATAAATCACTCCTTTTCATCTCTTGTGTCTTGTATGTGTGATGTTATTATGTCTTCTACCACCACTCCTGTGATGGATTGTCCAATTTTTTATTCTCAAGATCTTTGTTGCATTTTGCCCCCACCCCTCAAAAAAAACTTATTGGAAAGTTGCAATGTTTTAGATATTAGCTTCTCTTCCACTCTGATTGCTTTCTTTGTAGGTAGCCCATCCAGTATTGTCAGTGCATCATCCGTCTATGTGTTGGCACTGCTGATCCTGAATGTTGATGCTACTTTACACTTTTACAACTAATACTGGTAGATAGCTGAGATATTACAGAAAACTGGTAGGGGTTTTTTAGTTGTTGAGTTTTGTTTTTTGATGACATTTTCTTTTTTTCTTTTCTTTCTGGTTAAGTGTGCACATTTATCATGTAAGTTTGCTCTTTTCCTCCTCAAAATGAATAGGTCATTTGGGGGCACAGTGATTCGGGACAGAATGCTGATGATAAGTTAGGGAAGCTCTTTTAGGAGGAAGCTCTTTAGTGAGGAAGATAAAGGTGATTAAACAGAATGCATGTCTAGTTTATACAACAATATTTAGAGAAATACACTTTTAAGAGAGAGAACAGTTTTAAGTAATCATCTATAGTAGTTGTTTCAAATATAACATCAGAGGTACTATTGGTTCTTCAGGGTTCCCAATATGATTCATGATTGCTAAGATACACTATATAAAAATGACTGAACTGTCTTCTGTCCTGAAATGTTTAGTAGGGCCCATTGGGTTAATTTCAGTTTCTCCACTAACCAACTTCCTTCTTTTGCTCTGCCCTGTAAATAATTAGAAAAGAACCCCACCCCCACTAGTTTTTAATGAAGGAGGAATTGATGCTCTTGAATGGTCCCTGGTTGTCTCCCTAGTGGTACAATTAACATATAGATCCACTTTGGCTATGATATTGCTAATTTAGTCCAGCAACTTACTAAAAAATGAAATATAATATACTTTGCAAACTTTCAAGAGCAAATATATTTTCAGCATAACCTGGACATTTAAGTTATGCATTCATTCTACTGTTAAAAACTTAGCTGTAAGATCCAAGAGTAAAATAAAAACAGAATTCAGTCAGCCTTTGAACGGGGCACAAAAACACTTTTTTAAAAATAGAGTTTTTGAATCCTTCCATCATTCTTGCCTTTCCCAAGTATTTTTAATGCCCAGTCTAATGGCCTCAAAAGCTTGCTTCTCTCTTCATTTTTTTTAAAAATTTGGTTTTGGTAGCCCAGTAAATGTATTATTAAACTGCATATAGATATGATGAATTTTGTCTGATTAAGGTGCTTCATGTTTACAAGTAAATGACCTGAAATACATTTTCAGTTAAATATAAAAGGGGTTTTTGTTCTGTCTTCCTTGTCCTTTCTTTAAGCCATCAGATGTTATCTCTCTGTATATTTTGTAAATATTAAGATATAGGAAAATGTTTTCCTTCCTGGTTCTTTGCATTTTCTGTTCCATGCTGGAAATGCAGTTGTGCAATAGATTTTCTGAAGTTGTTTTAGCAACAGACAGCTGCATCTCTACTTTAGAGCAAAACACACAGTCATCTAATGTAGTAAAAATTATGTATGCCTGGAGCAGAAAAGAATTGGAAGGGACAGAAAAATAGCAAGTTAACCAAGACAAAAATGAGGAGGTAGGAGATCAATATCCGTTTCATTCCTGACCATATCTTTAGAGATTTTACAATCTCATATAATTGAAATATTAAAATAATTTTATAATTCTCATATAATTTAAAGTGATGCTATTTCATTCCACAAAATATAGTTGCATTCAGACTTTCCAGTGTCTATCATATCCTTTATAAAATAATTTTGAAATTATTACTTCAGAATTCATCAGATCATTTTTAAAAGCCTTTCTAAAATGGTTGTCTCCCCGCCCCCATTTCTGTCTTTAATTAATGCTCTAGTTAAAGGGGAGGGGAATAATTCTGGTCTCAAGCCAACCTAATTTGTGCTGTTAATGGATGCCTTCAAACTGCAGTATGTGGAATGTGTCACGCTCCTACCCCCTGCTGAACTAAGATCCTTGGAGGGAGGTAACTAAAGCCTCTCTGCTCTTCATTCAGTGTACTGCCAACCTTAGAAATTAAAACAAAACAAATAGCCTCCCAGGGAACAAGGGACATTCCTTGCAGTCCTAGGAGATGGATTCTCTTTAAAGCAACATTGTACAAAGTCTCTTAAGGTTTGATTCCTGGCATAGCTGTAGCCCAGCAATGCTGCTTACAGGTGGTGCTGACTCTTGCAAATGATGTGGATGCTATTGAATGTGTGTTGAATACTGAGATTCTGACCCTCCTAAGATCTTGGAAGGGTCTGTGTCACAAAACCGTATGTCAGCCTCTGAAAAACATTCCCACTTTCTGTTTTTTTTTAGTATTGTATTCTATCTCAGATCACACCTTCTGTGTACAGGGGCCAGGGCCAACACTGTCACTAGGTAAAGAGAGGCAGCTACCTCAGGCAGCAAATTTGGGATGTCATAAAAAGTTAGTAAATGGTTAGTTACGTTGTTTCTTTCGGAATGGGAAGAGGTGCTTGGTGGATTTTCTGCCTCACGTGCTAAAGTAATTTGACTAGCTTTGGATAGTCATGTTATGGGTCTTGGGTCACAGATACTTGGTGGGGGGAAGAAAGGCTATATATGCTAGTTATGTGCCGTCAAGTTGGAACTGAATTACAGCAGTTTTGATAGGGCGTCAAGGTAACTGAGATATTCAAGGAGTAGCTTTACTGGTTCTATTCTCCCAGTGAATTTCTGTGATCAAGTGGGGATTTGAACCCTGGTTTCCTGAGTCTTATCCACTGTACCACACTGGGTGGCCTATAGCTATAACTTGACTCCTGGCTATTTGAAGATCATATTAGCCTTCTTGGCTTTCAAGATGTTCTGAGGAGGCCCATTGCTTGGTTCCAACACCTTACCAAGCTTGGTGAGGACACGAGAGAGGACCTTCTACGTGGCTGATCTCAGGCTTTGGGATGCACTACCCCGAGAAGCCAGCTTGGCCCCCTTTCTCTTCACTGTCATCAGGCAGCTTTTAAGCATTGAGCTTTCTCAGGAATGCTGGTTTTTAACTTATATTTTTTAAAAATGTTTAAAAATTGTTTTTAAACTGAATGTTTTAATCTCAATATATGTTTAACTGTTTTAAACAAGGTGGCAAATAAATACAGTGGTGCCTCGCATAGCGAGGTTAATCCGTTCCGGATTAACCTTCGCTATGCTGAAGCATCGTTGAACGGGGCAGGGATTTCAATTGGAACGCATTAAACATGGTTTAATGCGTTCCAAATGAGCCAAATACTCACCGTTCAACGAAGCTTTGTAATGGCCGGCAGCCATTTTCGCACCCTCGCCTCGCTTAACGAGGGCGCGAAAATGCTGCGCGCGGCCATTTTGGGCCATTTCCGGAATCTCAATATATGTTTAACTGTTTTAAACCAGGTGGCAAATAAAGAAATAATAACAACAACAACATATGAGTAATAAGTAGCAGCTGTGTGTGCTGGGAGGGCTTTTCTGTTTGCTAAGCAGAGGAATAAAATCGAGTCAGACACCAGGGAGTGAGCAGATAGGGAGAACAAACAGGCATTTGACAGGGGAAGAGTAGTAAGGAAAGGGTCTACTGGAGGATGAGGCAAAAGAAAAGAGGAGGCCAAAGCAGAAAGGTGATTTAGAATTGGCTTTGAATCTGCATGATATTCATGACATACTGCTCTGTGCTGCTGTTTTGCTTAAGCGAGGCACCACTGTAAATAACAACAACAACATATGACTAATAAGTAGCAGCTGTGTGTGCTGGGAGGGCTTTTCTGTTTGCTAAGCAGAGGAATAAAATCGAGTCAGACACCAGGGAGTGAGCAGATAGGGAGAACAAACAGGCATTTGACAGGGGAAGAGTAGTAAGGAAAGGGTCTACTGGAGGATGAGGCAAAAGAAAAGAGGAGGCCAAAGCAGAAAGGTGATTTAGAATTGGCTTTGAATCTGCATGAGATTCATGACATACTGCTCTGTGCTGCTCTTTTGCCTGATGTTCGCTCTCTCTCTCTCTCTCTCTCTCTCTCTCTCTCTCTCTCTCTGTGCACAGTTATTTTATTCTGTTATTAATTGTGTATATGCTGCTTGTATAACCCTGTGAGGCAGACAGACACCATATATTTAAAGAAAAATGCATTAAATAAAGTACCTTGTCATCTCTCTTTACAATTTCAAACTTACTTTTATTTTTCAGATTGAAGAAGGCAGCAAAGCTGCAGTGGTTGACAAGCTACTGGCTGGAGATGAAATTATCGCCATCAATGATGTCAACCTCTCTGGATTCCGGCAAGAGGCTATCTGCCTGGTAAAAGGTTCGCACAAGACACTAAAGCTTGTTGTGAAAAGGTAAGGTTATAATTCACAATACTGTAGTGAGAACTAAAATTTGTAACAAGCCCTGACCTTGGAAACCAATCAGTTTCAAAATTCTGTCTGAATAAAAATAGTGTTAAACTGCTGGTAGAAACCCTACAAGGAGAAGACCAGGCAGACTTCTTGTGGTGGGGAGTTCTAAAGCCTGTTTCAGAGCTACGTTGGGTCCCTTTTTTGGGAAGAAAGTAGGATAGAAATCAAGAAAATAAGTAAATTATCAGATACTTAGTTCCTTGAAATAAATAGCTCCCACCTTTCAATATGCTGGGGAAGCTAAAGGTTTTGAAACTGCTGGGGTAAAATGCTAGTATGTGTACATTTAAGTCACATCAGTTAATGGCTAGACCAGTGGTTCCCAACCTTGGGTCCCCAGATGTTCTTAGACTACAACTCCCAGAAATCCTGGCCACCACAGCTTCTAGGAGTTTTAGTCCAAGGACATTTGGAGTCCCAAGGTTAGAAATCACTGGGCTAAACACAAATGAGAAGCACTTATCATGCATGGGATCTCAGATCTGAGCTTATGCATTGGATTAAAAGCAATAAGGTCCAAATAGCTATAACCCATTGAGTCCTGTGCATCCTTCTTGCAGGTAGGTGACATGACTGGATGTTGCTACAGGCTCAGGTGGTCACATGAAGAGATCCTGATTACCATAGGAAAATCACTTTCTGGTTCCTAAGGAAGTTTAAAGTTCATACGAGCCACCTCACCAAGCTCAGACCAGCAGTTTTCTGACTTAGCTTCTGTAATTAGGTCATACCCCACTCTTTGCTACCTACTCCTAGTGATTGAGACACCTTTTGCCTCTCTTCCATCAGAGAACTGGTCCTTCAGGTAAAGCCTATGGAGCTGAATTAAGAGGTCACTGAAGAATCACAGGGTGCCCAAGATAGAAAGTTAGTAGGCCCAAGGTTCTTCACTTCTAATGTTTGGCTGTTAGCCTTGGTGAAAATATGTTTACATTATATTTACGTTTCTTCAAAGAATTCTAGCATTAGCTTTTTGTTCATATTGTTGGATAACCCACTGAGGAAAGCAGCACATTTTGTGCTTTGATGCCATTAAATAGAAACTTGTGAGTGCTCCAGGGTTCACCTTTGTTCTTGATGAATAGTAAAGTAAAACGGTGGGTTTGATATGTTGCTGACAGAAGTGAAATATGTGTCGTATATTTTGTTGTATTACGTGGTATGTATCAGCAGTTTACAGCCCTGAAGAAAATGTAAATTATTTCAGCATAGGACCTTGACAGGATACTTAGAGGCTGGGTAGCTGTGCAAGTTGTGAGTGTATTTCAACAGTGCTTAGTCCATATATTATTCTCTGTAATTTATTAAGAATCTTTGTGATCTTGAAGAAGAAATAATATCAGATATGTTGTATATAACTTAAAAAGCATTCCATATTGGATTTACTCTTGAGTAAACATGCATAGAAGTGAACTCTTAGTTTGTTCAATATAGTGTCCCATTTATTTCTGATGTTTACATTGGGATAAAATGTACTAAGCAGCCTTTAAATAATTTTTGAGAATTGGGGATAGGAGCAAGAAATGAAGAAATCTGATTGCAACACTATAACCCATATTAAGAACAGTTTCAGAGAGTTCTTCCAAAGTTGTATAGCTCAGGAACCAATAATTTATAACAAAGCACATCTGGACTGTATTATCATTTGTATCTGTTTGATCCAACCTTGGCTTCTAGTTTGGAAAAAAAGACACGTTTAATACATCTTCTTCATTCTAAGTAATGGGGAAATCTTTCTGACCTGTTTATTTGGGGGCCTTTAAGTCTTCAAGCATTCCACAGTATAACTCATTGCTATCTTGACCTCTCAGCTTTATAGCAGCCTTCCTTCAGGTATCCAGATATTTTTCTGCACATGAATCTGGATGTTCATCATTTGTAGATATTTACATAAATCTTATAACTGGGTCCTTGTAGCCATTTCTTACTAGTTAAAAGACACTCTAGACTTAAGCTCCACATAGAGTTTTCGTCATTGACTCAGTGTGCCATTGACAGTGAAGACATCGCATTCCATGCTACGCCTATTAGGAAAGGAGTTGAAAGAAAACCGATGGGGTAATAATACTCCTATATTCTGTTCTGAAACCTTTAATGGCATTTCCAAACTACAACAACACAAGCAAAATAGGAGAAGTAAAGTTACACAAATTTCACAAATTAAATACTCCTATATTAATCCATGGTGCGTTCATATCCATGGCAACCAATGTGATGCCGTTTGCCCTCTTCTACAGAAAGAAGAGCTGGAAAAGGGGCAGAGAACAGCAGCCAAAAGGAGGAAGCAGCATGCTTTGAGAAAAGTCTGAAATGTTTAGGGCTTTCTTTTGAAGTCTGAGGGAGAGAAAGAGAGCACAGTATTGGAGAGAGACATAAACAGAGGTTTGTGCAGTTGTGAGTTGCATAGCGAAAACAGAAAGATTTTTCTTCCTAGTTCCTCATGCAGTGGTAGCCATATGACATATCTAGGTTCTCGGGGTAATTTCTGTTTCTGGCTTTGGAGCAAATGGCGGGGCTGGGAGAGGGGATCTTGTGCGATCTTCCCAGCATACAGAGAAGACTTTGTTGAGTAGAATATCATGGCTGAGTTTGATAGCTCTTTGGTCTGAGTAAGCAGGACTGCTCTTATGACTTGTCTAAATAGTTTAAAGTTCATCTGTGCCTGTCCCAATCAGATTGGTGCCACTAAAGCAGAGGACATTTGTCCCAGGAATGGACAACATGGAGCTCAGAGGCCAGCATGCAATTGCATGTGGTTTTGCCCTCCTGAAAAACTCCAGTTGTTATTGCTCTTACTGCTGCTGCTGTTTTTAAGTCGTAACAGGAAAATTTCTGCTCCTTGAACCTTCTAAGAGCAGCAGTTCTCCTGTAAGGCAAAGAACATTGATATGTTCAGTTCAGACCAGTTTTATATAATTCTATCGTAGAATGCTAATTCTGTCATTCAGATTACTGACATCCAGTTATTTTTGGAATAATTGTCTCTGCCCTGCTGCCATCTTTTGTTTCAGTTATTTCTATATATAGTTCATACAGATTTGGGTTTCTTTGTTTGATGTCCTAATTTTGATTATTATTTAATTTTATCTTATATTGTAAACCGCCTTGAGTAGTGTCTTGGCCACTAGGTGGACAGGGTTAAAAAGTTAAATAAGTAAATAAACATAGTTTCGATGACTCTATATAAAGCAAAAGGTGCAGTGTTCAAGCTGCATGCACCTCCCTGTTTTTCTGCACACAGTTGATTATTCCCCCAAGAGGTTTCCAGAACTGTAGATCTCTTCTAATTAGGCAGTCTTTGCAGCACAACTTTTTTTAAAAAAATAGTAGCTTTTTTCTTTCCCACTCTTTTAAACAGCTATCTTGTTGCTATATTTCAGTGAAATGGCGCAGCCCCTTTGTTGACTTGGAGGGTCTGGTGTCACCATTCCCTCACCAGCTCCTTAGCTTCTAGGAAGTTAGACTGCTCTGTCCTATCACCTGACTTTGTGAGGTTAAATCTGAACTTTTTCAAATAATGTAAGCTTGAAGATTTCAGGCATCATATTTTTACACAGCAGAATGTGGGCATATAGCAGCAAGTGAAGTTTTGAAACTGCAAAACAAGTGGGATGTGGTGGGGTTATGTTTCCCCAAACGTCTGCGTTGTTCGACATCAGCATTGGGAAAACTGGCTACACTTTAATACAACAAATGTCTGCTAGTCTTCTCAGTTCTCACTGTTGAACGTATGTATGCATGGCAAAATGTTCATTCCCAAGCAGGGCCCAGCCTCTACAGCAGTGGTTCTTAACCTTTTTGAAAGAAACGCCCCCTTGAGCCATTGAGGAAGTTATCATTGCCCTCCTCCCCGCGGCTTCAGCCAGCCACAACAGGAAAACAGGAAAAGTCAGAAAAGCTGCCAAATTCCCACCCACCCAGGATGACCCGAGCCAGCCCTGTCCCTAGAAATCCTGCTGCGCCACCCCAAACTGACCCATTTCTCTCTGCACTTCCCTTGCAACGGGTGGGAAGGTGGGTGGGAAGCCAAGATGGACAAATGGGGCTCGTCTCTCCCTCCCCGCCTGGGTGCGAGGCAGAGCATCACTGGGTGAGGACGGGGACCCAAGAGACCCTTTCCTTCCACCCGATCCACATTCAGTGCTCCCCTAAGTGAGAAAGGCGAGATGTGGCAGGCAGGAAGAGTGGGATCGTCTGGCGGTGGCAGCACTGAATCCACTGCTAGCACCCTGGTTGCAGTCATCTTCACAGGTTTGGCTTGCTCCAGCGCCCCCCTACAGCCCCCCTTCTGCTCCATCGCCCCCATGCCACCCCTTTTCATTCTACTGCCCCCCTGAAAAATGAAATCGCCCCCTGGGGGGCATTATTGCCCACGTTAAGAACCACTGCTCTACAGTATTCTATGCAGGTGAGAATCCTCACATTTTGATAGGATATTGCACATATTTTTTTCAACATGTCCTTACTTTGTTTTTAAATAGAGACTCTCCAGCTTCATTTTGTCTGTTTTGGGGCCATCAAGGTATGAATGTGATGTGGTGGCCAAAAGTACACAATAGAATTGTGTTGCTATAGGAAACCTGATGGCACAAAGAGGATACACTTGTAGTTTTGTGAACTACTCTGTTACAGTGGTATCAAACTGTCATAATGTGCAGCATAGATATACTCTGAATGTGCATGAAGGCCAGACAGTCATTAGAGAACATTTGTGATGAGTTCTCTTCCTCGTTTCAGCATCTTATACACCTCTCCGCAAGTCCTGACTTGAGTTAGCATTAACTATGGTTAGCACCTATGTAGGTATAGCAATGATGATGCACCACCAAGTCAATTTGGAATTATCTCAACCTTTTCCATCCCTTTCCATGGTTATAGGATACTCAGAAGTGGTTTAACATTACACTATAGATAAATCAAACCATATAAAGAAGAGAAAA